TTAGCCTCAGGGGTCACCATAAAAGCCCTCAGTCTACAGTGTCAGTGCTAAGGCAGTAGTATCCCACTTCTTGGTTCAGATAGCCCACCTTTCCTGCTTCCTTTCCTGGTGCCTTGTGCCCCAGCCCCTTCAGACTTTCTGTCTGAAGAGTCTTTCTGTCTCTGCCAGTCGTTGCCCCTCCTTGCTCAACTGCCCCAGCTCTGAATCTGTTTCCTGTAATTTTAATAGGTAATTCCTTATTTTCCCTCCCCATTTATCAACCAGGGAATATTTCTATCAGTCTAGAAAAGTAACTTGGAAACTTTTTTTATAAAAGCACCATTCATTTTTGGTTTCAAATGTAATTTTACCTGCAAAGGAAATATAAGTGATGAGTGGGTTCTTTGCACAATTTAAAATTTTCGTTTTTTATGTGTGTATGAGAAATTCCTACTGTTTGTTTAAAGCAACTCTGAGTTGCCCAGAAAACTGTTTGAAAAGTGCTTATCTAAAGGAAATCATCTCTCATTCAAAAGAGTCTATATTTTAAAACATAATTATAGGAGGGTATAATGGAAGCAATATGATAGGAGAAAAAGAACACATTGAAGATATGGTTTCACGCCCCAGCTCTACCACTGATTATCATGTAATGTTGGGCAATAACCTGTCTAAATCTCCATTTCTTGAAAAGAATATAGCAACACTACCATTTACCTTGAGGAACTGCTGTGAGAATTTGATAAGTTAAGCACGTAGCATTGTATCTGACACTGCTCAATATACTTAGTCCCTTCCCCTTTCCAATGTGTGCTCTATTTTAATCTGTGCAAAATTCTAAAGAAACGCCTGGAGAGAGGGACCAGTTCAGCCCTTGGGCTTCTGGGAAATCTCAAGCAGAGCTACTATTTGGACCAGACCTTCATTGCTGAGAAGCTTTTGTTGACCATCTGCTGACGAGATATTACCACTTCTCCTTTTGCTAATGATTTTACTTGAGGTATGAAAATGACAAAAAGAATAAGAATTCAAAGATTCAAATCTATAATAAGGTTCTCCAACTGCCCAGCTGATGTGACAGGGAGGACTTGGGACCGTGGACCTAAAACTTTGGCATAGTAAGTATGGTGATGAGGGAACCTCAGTCATAAAAGCTCAATTTAAAAGTCTGTCAGGGCTAAAAAGACGCTGCCTCCATAACTTTGGGTTTTTTTGTTTTGAGCTCCCATCTGCTATATCATCCCCTCATAATCAATGGAGGTTGTCTCAACCAAGCTTTTCTACCCTGGGCTCCTTTAAGCTAAAGGCTGTCCTCTCATGACTTTCTCTTCTGCCCTGTTTGAGGCTGGGAGTTGGAAAAGTATGAAGGGAATTATAGAAACTTGCCTGCTGACTCTATCCATGTTCCATGTGACTCCAGGTCCACTGAAGGTTTTTACTGAGTATATGCTGTGGTAATCTACCCTCAACTCCTTTCCCATAGCTACATATTCTCAGCTAATTCTTCCTACAAACCTTAGTCCACATTTTGCTTCTCTATGCCTTCCCGCCTCCATCATCACAGGCAACACTTTGCTCTCTTTTCATTCCACCTATGGGATTACCATGATTCCCACCACTGTACATTATTCTGTAGGCCAGCACTTCCCTGGGATCTAGGTATTGCTTTCCCTCATCTCCTGTGGAACATTACTCACTATCATCGAAACACATCTCAAGCCTCCTCCTTTTCCAGCCTCATCCCACTCTAATTTCCAGGATTCTGAAGGCTGAGCTGTGGTGCTAGTTAGTTCCAGTATCCCTCTATGACTAACATTTGCAAAGTTCCCTCCCATTTCAGCAAAGACATTCAGTGAAATAGGAGAGGGGCCATGGGGCTTGAGGGCTGTACTCAGGAGATTCACATGCTATTACCCCTGGAAATAGAAAAATGAAATGCAGGCAGCATGTCTTAAGGTGAGTTGCAGAGGGGTTAAAGGTGGCTGTGTGGAAGAAAAAGTGGGCGTTGGTGAGAAACCAACATGACCTACTCTCTAGCCCTACTTCTCAGGATGTTCGATATAAATTTGGACTAGAAAGTTAAGCACCTTGAGAAATACTACAGAATCCTAGCAGTCATGATATTAAACTAGCCACAGTGAGGCAGCAAGAGGAAGAAGTCTCTCCCAGGTTATTCCTTCCTTGGCCCTCTGGTAACCTACCATCAGTCCCTTTCACATATCCACAAATCTCATCTCATTCTTCCTGCAAATCTCCACCAATGCTACGAATACTCTGATCAATTCCTGAAAAGGTTGTGAGAGTGACCTTCAACAAGAATGTGGTCATGAGCTGGAATGACAGCCTGACTCTCCACCTTCCTCCCCCTCACATCACTGTCCTCGGAAGTGGGCTCCTGCTCTGCCCTCCCTCTATCTGACCACTGAATTGGCAGGGTAACATGAGAGCCTGGACATTCCAGCCTGTAGCTCTCTCCATATGTCCCCTCAAGGTTCTGATGCAGAAGGGAAGATACCCAAGAGGCTGACCTCCTTCTAGAAGTTGTGTTCCTCCAAATCTTAGACCTCTAGGACCCATTTCCCACCACAGACAACCATCCTGACCCCTTGGCAGCATCTCCTCTTCCCGCTCACTGTGCCTATGTCCCTTGGAGAGAGGATAGGCCCACAGAAGAGCATAGAGAGGATAAGACTAACTTTCTAATTGGGCAGGAAGAACTCGGGGGTATGGCATGAGCCCCTAAAACTTGTCTCAAAGTCTGGGCCCTGGCAGTTGTTCCTTGAGCCAGGCCCTCCAGGAACGGATGCTGTGCACTTACCTGGAGTAGCCCTTCCCTGGACCATGGGATTGCTCAGCACCACCAGTAATACTGTCAGAGCTGGTGTGCAGAGGGCTTCAGGCACGTGCAGGACCATCATGGAGCTGGAAAGGATGGGGAGGTGGAGAGACTTGCTGTCAGGGAAGGATTCACTAAATGGAAACCTCTTCTGATATAACAGAGACCATGAACTGAAATAGTTTCCCATGTCTCCTGCGATTGGACAGACTCTAAAAAAGAAGCCAATGAGCACTGAGTTTGACATGACTCATCACTCACTGGGTAGACATTTAGTATGAAAGGTCTGACAATAAGATGATAGACAGAGAGAGTGATACTCATTTTAAGCAATTGGACAAGTCATGAGAGTTTGGGAGAGTATGTGTTTTCTTTGGTTTGAAGTAAATATTCAGCTTTCTGGCCATCGATGGAGATTATCATTCCCTCCAACCTTGTCACCCCCCATATTCCTACAGAACAGAGTCTGGGGTGGAGCAAATGCAATCTCTGTTTGTAAAAGGCCCAGTGGCATGATTTACAGAGAGATTGGACTACTCACCCCAGCACTCAACATGATCCCTGGGGTCAGTCTACCCTCCTCTGCTCGAGAGGATATTTAGGGTTCTCTTCCATGCAGTCCCAGGGTTAAAGGTGAGGAGAGACAATGCAGGGACGCCCAGAGTAGCAGGCCGGAAGAGCAGGAGAAAGGGATAAAAGCCTTGAACCCGGACAGAAGAGCACTCACCCCAGGGTTACAGGTGAGGAGAGACAACGCAGGGACATCCAGAGTAGCAGGCCAGAAGAGCAGGAGAAAGGGGATAAACCCAGGAAGCCAAAGAGAAGAGCAGTCAGCTGAAGGGATTAGGTGAGGAGGGGAAACTCAGGTCCGCCCAGAGTAGCAGGCTGGAAGAGCAGGAGAAAGAGGATAAAAG